GAGGAGGAGGAGGAGGAGGAGGCCTAGGAGGGCCGCCGGCTGCCCCCGCAGGCGGTCCGCTTCGAGCAGCCGCACTGCAGCACCGAGGACTTCGGCGGAGGGCATGCCCTTGATGGTGGCGTGCCGTCCTGGCAGAGGAGGATGATATAGGATGATGATGATGATGATGATGATGATGATGATGATGATGATGATGATGATGATGATGATGATGATGATGATGATGATGATGATGATGATGATGATGATGATGATGATGATGATGATGAATTGATGATGATGAGGAGGAGGAGGAGGAGGAGGAGGACGACGACGACGGCGAGGAGCTGCAGGAGGAGGAGGAGGAGTACGAGGACGGAGGAGGAGGAGGAGGAGGAGGAGGAGGAGGAGGAGGAGGAGGAAGGGGAGGAGGAGGAGAAAAAGGAGGAGGAGGAGGAGGAGGAGGAGGAGGAGGAGGAGGAGGAGGAGGAGGAGGAACGAGGAGGAGGAGGAGGAGAAAGAGGAGGATCAGGAGGAGGAGGAGGAGGAGGATAAGGAGGACCCCTCCATCCTCTGCACAGGCAGGCACCCTCCAGAGGCGGTGGCCCAATCGGGCCACGCTACCCGTAGGAGGGAGGACCCAACACGGGCCCTCGGGCCCCAATCCGCCACACGGCGCCCACGCTGCGTTGTTGCGTTAGTCCTACTCCTTCCCCTTCCTCCCGAAGGTCATGATGATATGTTGTATTAGATGTGATGTCCCTCATGTTTCCTCTCCCTCCTGTCTTCCTCGGGACTTCGCGTTCCTAATCTTCTTGTTTTTCTTCTACTCCCCCAGGGGGCCCTACTGGGCCCCTCTGGGGGAAGCGGCAATGTCTGAAGACTTGCATGCCATGAGGAACCGAGGAGAAGGAGGAGGAGGAGGAGGAGGAGGAGGAGGAGGAGGAGGAGGAGGAGGAGAAGGAGCAGCAACATGGGCACCAGGAGGAGGAGGGGGATGAGGAGGGGGATGATGCTGATGATGATGATGATGATGATGATGATGATGATGATGATGATGATGATGATGATGATGCTGATGATGATGATGATGATGATATAAATGATGATGATGATGATGATGATGATGATGATGATGATGATGATGATGATGATGATGATGATGATGATGATGATGATGATGATGATGTGATGGTGATGATGATGATGATGATGATGATGATGATGATGACGATGATGATGATGATGATGATGATGACTGCTGCTGCTGCTGCTGATGATGATGATGATGATGATGATGATGATGATGATGAGGATGAGGATGAGGAGGATGAGGATGAGGATGAGGAGGAGGAGGAGGAGGAGGAGGAGGAGGAGGAGGAGGAGGAGGAGGATGAGGATGAGGATGAGGATGAGGATGAGGATGAGGATGAGGGGTGAGGGTGAGGATGAGGATGAGGATGAGGATGAGGATGAGGATGAGGAGGGAGGATGAGGATGAGGATGAGGATGAGGATGAGGATGAGGAGGGAGGAGGAGGAGGAGGAGGAGGAGGAGGAGGAGGAGGAGGAGACTGGTGGCGCGTGACGTTTCATGACCGCGAAGGCCTCCCGTGGGGCACCCCTCTCCTTTCCGAGGCCCTGCGGTGGTCCCCGCGACCTCGCCCGAGGCCAGAAGCTACAGGCGTTCACCACAGCCCTCTTTGCCAACCCATCTCCTGAGCCAGGGGGGAGGGGAGGTGAGCTGGAGAACGAGAGGGTAGCAGGAGGAGAATGAGGTGGGCAGAGAGGAAGAGAGGGACGGAGGAGGAGGAGGAGGAGGAGGAGGAGGAGGAGGAGGAGGAGGAGGTTGTGCGGGAGGAGGGGGCGGAAACCGATGATGAGCGCAGGAGAAAGCACGAGCACGAGGAGGAAGGAGGAGGAGGAGGAGGAGGAGGAGGAGGAGGAGAGAAGGAGGTGCGGGAGAGGGACAGGGACAGGGACAGAGATGGGGAGGGGCAGGGAGGAGGAGGAGAAGGAGGAGGAGTAGGAGGAGGAGGAAGAAGAGTGCTGTGGGCGGGCCCTGGACAAGAAAAGAGAGGAGAGGCGAAAGGATTGCACGACGAGGAGGACGAGCAGCAGGAGGAGGAGGGGACGACGACGACGACGACGACGACGACGACGACGACGACGACGACGACGACGGCCAGAGGCGGCGACGGCGGCGACGGCCAGAGGCGGCGACGGCGGCGACGGCCACGGGCGGCGGCAATGGCGGCGGCGACGGCGGCGCCCGCGCCCAGGCGGACCCGGCGACGGCGGCGCCCCGCCCGAGCCGCTCGGCGAGCGCCCAGCCTCGCGTGGCCTGCGCCGCCCCCGCGCCCGCGCGGGCGTGGGCGGCGCGTGAATGCGCCCGCCGGGGGAGGCCGCGCCCGCCGCCGCCGCCGCTCGCCGCCGCCGCCGCCACCGTCGTCGTCGTCGTCGTCGTCGTCGTCGTCGTCGTCGTCGTCGTCGTCGTGGTCGTCGTCGTCGTCGTCGTCGTCGTCGTCGTCGTCGTCGTCGTCGTCATCGTCGTCGCTACCTCCTCCTCCTGCTGCTCGTCCTCCTCGTCGTGCAGCCCTCTCGCCCCTCCTGTCGGCGCGGGCGCGGGGGCGGGCGGAGGGAGTTGCGGAGGCGACGACGGGGGCGAATAGCCCAGGGGAGACCAATACATGTACAGTCGGGGCGCTGAAGAAGGACCCCTTTTCGTCGGGGGAGGGGCTCGGTGTTCCTTGATTGTTTCACAGATTGCCTCAGGTTTTCCTTCTGCTTTCGATGGGAAATCGAAGTTTAACTTATGGAAAAAAGGGGCCTCGTTCCTTATTAAGGGTTCCTTAGGTCAACGCCTCGACTGTATCCAGAGCCTGGGGTCGCCCATGTCTTCGACGACGCTGCCAGGCGAGAACGTGTCACGCCCGCCCCTGGTCTATCCACCCCTATATCGCCCGCCCCGAGAGCTGACGAGCGGGGGCGGGGAGGGGGCGAGAGCGAGAGAGAGAGGTGGATTGGGAGGGGCCGCGCAAAATCACGCTGCGTCGGGTCGCTGCGGCACTTGCGGGTGTCAGCCGCGGCTCGTGGTTATCCCTTGAAGGGGGGGGGGACTGTGGGCACGCGTGCGGGGACTTGGTGCGGCGATTCGGACGCATGGCAGCGGCTGCCGCGCATCAGGGCGATTGCGCTTTACTCGAATGGTTTGTTCCCCTTGTTCCGCTCGCGTGCCCTCCGTCGTCCCTCTCGTCGGTTCGTCCGTCCCTCTCCTCTTCCTCGGCCTCTCGTCCCCGCTCGTCGTGCGTCCCTCTCTGCTCGTGCGTCCTTCCTCCACCCCGTGACGGTCTCAACCGTCTCCAGACTGGATGCTGCAGAGGCAGGGGGAGCAGTCGAGGCCACACGTTCGATACTGGTCTGCCCGTCTGCTGCCGTAGGCGGGTCCGCCTGCCCGCACGCAGCCTGCCGCCCTCCCCTGAATTGGGGCCCAGTCATCGGCGGCGCAGTAGGTGCGCCATTGGGCCTCCAACGAGGGGTGGCAGCAGCAGCAGTAGCGGCGGCGGCAGCAGCACCAGGAGGAGGAGGAGGAGGAGGAGGAGGAGGAGGAGGAGGAGGAGGAGGAGGAGGAGGAGGAGGAGGAGGAGGAGGAGGAGGGGGGGGAGTGGCCGCACGACGCAGACAAAGGGGGACGGGTACACACAACTCAGGAGGCCGAAGGAAAACGTGACTGGGTTTGCGAAACGAGCGCCTGCTTGTGATGAGACTTCGAGTGCGTTTCGGCTGGATTCCAAGACCACCCGCGCGGCAAACACCTGAGCGGGATTATGTTGCCATCGTCTCCACCATGCTGGATCTCGTGAAGGCAGGGTTTCGGCAGGAGTCCATGTGACCTTCTCAGCCATACCCGAGCGGGTTACCATTCGTATCCATTTGCCAGTTGTTGGGTTTTGCGAGCCACGCTGAAGATAATCAGGATCCGTCGCAGACTTGCACCTGGTCCGAACTCGGATTGCTTCGCGACGACAGACCAGACTGCGTGCCGTATGTTCGTGTGGTGTCGATGAGGTGGCGACCCCAGTGCGGGCGTTCCAGACTGAACGCCGCCAGTGGCCCCGAATCGGCCGACACCGATTGACCCGCGTCATCGGAGAGCCGCACTCGCCCCGGGTCGAACTGTCCACACGGTGTCAGAACCCAAGAGACAAGTCGTCACGACACGGACGAGCCGCAGCCAGTCGTAGTTCAATGCGAAAGCACACGTGTGCAGGCGTGTTTGTGCACCGCCCCCCTTACCAACAAAAAGCGCATGTAGTCAAGTGCGGCTCGCTTGCACGGTTGTCGGCTCGAGATTTGTTTCGTTGGTGTGTCGAGTATTTGCCCGTCGTTTGCCACCCTTGCCGGGATGGTGGTTGGTGATGCCGTGCGAGAGGCATGCTCGGAGCTCAAAGCAATACTCGTCATGGCGGCACCTATGACGATAGCCATCGTCGGTTTTGTCGCGATGGAGTTTGTCTCAATTGCGATACTGGGGCACTACGGGACGCAATTCCTCAGCGCTGCCTCTTTGGCGCAAACCTGGACGGAGTCGACGCGCGTACTCCTCTCCACCGCTTGAAACATGAGCACTTCCACGGCCCTCTACCCTCTTCATTCCTTCCCCTCCTCTCCATCCCTTCTCTTCTATTCCTTTGTTTTCTTGTTTGGGGAGGGAGAATAGTGGATGTGGTTGTATTTCGGCGGTGGACGCTCACCAGCGGAGCGGTCGGAACCCTCTGCTCGCAGGCTTATGGCGCTGGCCAACTTCATCTGGTGGGCATCTGGTTTCAGGTCGCGGTCGTGTGCGGCCTCCTCGTCAGTGTCCCCGTTGCGCTGATGAACTTCTTGACCGAGACAATCCTGCAGCCGTTCGGATACGAGGAGGAGCAGCTGGACCTCGCACAACGATACGCCGTCCTGATCACAATCGGCATAGTTCCTCAGATGGCTTTCGAGCGTTTTTTCCGGTACCTGCAGTCCATCGCAGTTTTCGTGCCGACGATGCTCACCATGCTTCTTACCGTGTGCATCTATGCGGCGATTGCGATGCCATTGGTTTACGGGGCTTTCGGCTGGAACGGTTTGGGCTTTGACGGCGCGCCGTTGGCTGTATCTATCGCGGCGTGGCTTCAGCTCGCGCTGCTGTGGCTGATCGCTTGCCGCCTCGGCCGCAAGCACGAGACGACTTGGCCTGGCTGGCATTGCCTGCGCGAGGTCACGTGTTCGCGAGTATACCGATATGGGGAACGGGAAATGCACAGCTACCCCACCCCTCTGGAATGAAGGAGAAGGGAGATGAGAGCGAGCGGGGGGGGAAGAGGGCGCTGGAGGAGGGGGCGGTGGGGTGGGTGTACTTTTTCTGCTAACCCACGATACCTCCGGCTCTACGTGCCCAACGTTTTCCAGGCCGGCTCTGAGCTCTGGCGATTTCAGCTGCTCAGTGCGTTTGCGGGCTTGCTCGGCGAGGTTGAATTATCCGCCCACATGATCGGCTTTCGCGTGATCTACATCGGTTACATTTGCGTCTTCTCACTGTCGCTGGCCGGAACGCAGCGCGTCGGCTCAGCATTGGGTGCTAATCGCCCGGAGGCAGCGAAACGGAGTTGCTACGTTGGCGCCATGTTTGCGGCGTGTTGCGCCCTCACTCTGGGTGTTGTCATCACCACTCATCGCGACCTCTTCGCTCGTGTATTCACCGACGACCCGGCGCTGATCGAAGAATGCAAGTCGCTTGCGCCCGAGATAGCTTTCTCGCAGTTCTTCATGACCTTGGCAGACTACTTCATTCCGATGTTGAATACGCAAGGGCGTCCGAATGCCGCGTTGGCCTCATCTTTCTTGTCGTCCTGGTTTGGTCATGTTCCCATCTGCTACGTGCTCGTTTTCCATATGTATCGGCATGAGTCTCCTAGCGATCGGATCAGGTGGCTTTGGACAGGGGTTTCCATCGGCTATTTTGCGCAGTGCACTATCGCCTTCGTGTGTATTGAAGACGCCTACGGCGAATCACCGCCGCCGCCTGCCTTTTGAAATCGCCCATGTGGCCGAGCGTTGTGGCAAGAACTCCGCCAAGCTATCGGACCATGTGTTGCCCCAACCATTGTGGAAACCCTCCGGGGACCACCTGGGGGAGGATGGCGGGGAAGATCAGGAACAGGAGGAGGAGGCGGAGGAGGAGGAGCAGGAGGAGGAGGAGAAGGGGAGGAGGAGGAAGAGGAGGATGAGGAAGAGGAGGAGGAGGAGGAGAAGGAGGAAGAGGAGGAGGAGGAGGGTGGGACATCTTGGCGCCTCCTGGGAGCTTCCTGGAAGCCTCTTGGAGGCATCTTGGGGGCTCCTTGGGCCTCTTGGGGGCCTCTGGGGGCTTCTCGGGGGCCCCTTTGGCTGTCTTATGGCATTCCTGGCCCGTCGGACGCCGTCGGAAGTCTTGGGGGACTCTCTGGGCCGACTTGAAACCCTCCTGGGGGGGTGCTCCAGGGCCGTCTTGGAGGCCATCTTGGGCGTCTTGGAGGCCTCTTGGGCCACCTGGAAGCCGTCTTGGGGCCGTCTTGGGGGCCTCTTGGGCTGTTGGAAGGCCGAAAAGAAGCAAATGCCCAAATCCTTAAAAATCCTAAGGCAAATAAATGATTCTGCCCTTTTCGGTGTTTTCTGCAGGCCTTCTTGGAGGCCTTCGTCTTAGGCCATCTTAGAGCCATCTTGGGCGGTCTTGGTGGGCTCCTGGCCCCTCTGACGCCGTTGGAAGCTGTAAGGGGGGCCTCTATGGGCCGACTGGGGGCCCTCTTGGGGTGCTCGAGGGCCGTCTTGGAGGCCATCTTGGGCGTCTTGGTGGCCTCTTGGGCCGTCTTGGGGCTCTCTTGGGGTGGTCTTGGGGGCCTCTTGGGCCGTCATGAGGCCATCTTGGAGCCGTCTTGGGCGTTCCCTTGGGCCGTCGGAAAGCCGAAAAGGATACGAACATACCTTAAAAACCTAAGGGCAATAAATGATTTAAGCCTCTTCGGGCCCTCCTGGAGGACCTCTCGGAGGCCTCTTGAGCCGTCTTGGAGGCCTCTTGGGCACCTCTTCGGCCGTCTTGGGTCATCCTGAGACTATCTTAGGCCGTCTTGGGTACATCTTGGGCCGTCTTGGAGACATCTTGGGGTCATCTTAGCCATCCTGGAGACCATCTTGGCCGTCTTGGAGGCATCTTGGAGGCCATCTTGGGCCATCATGACCATCTTGGGCCGCCTTGGACGATTTTGGAGGGACGTTGTGCGCGATTGCGCGCCTTTCCGGCGCGCTGGGCTGGAGCCCCAGGGGAGAGTTCTTTTGGAAAAAAGCAAAACCAAAACGGGTAGGATTTAGCACGCCGGACACCCTTGTGGCAAGAACACAGGGGGCGGTGGATCGAAGACGTCTACGGCGAATCACCGCGGCCCCCTGCCTTGTTGGAAGCGCCTATGTGGCCGAACGTTGAGGCCAGACCTGCCAAGCTATCGGACCATGTGTTTCCCGAATCGGTTTGGAAAGCCTTGAGAAGTCCAGCACGCCAGGCACCCCTGCGATGAATCGACAGGGGGCGGTGGATCGAAGACGCCTACGGTGAATCACCGCCGCCCCCTGCCTTTTTGGACGCGCCTATGTGGCCGAACGTTGAGGCCAGACCTGCCAAGCTATCGGACCATGTGTTCCCCGAATCGGTTTGGAAAGCCTTCGGGTAACACGTGGGCATATTGAAGGTCATCTTGGCCGTCTGGAGCCATTTTGACCCTTTCGGGCCTTCTTGGAGGACGTCTTGGAGGGCTCTTGGGCTGTCTTGGAGGCCTCTTGAGCGTCTTGGAGACCTCTTGGGCCGTCTTGGGGGCCTCTTGGGGCCGTGTCTTGGGCCTCATGGGCGATCTTTGGGTGCACTTGGGCCGTCTCGGGCCGTCGGAAGGCAAAAAAAAACAAATGCCACAATCCTTCAAAAACCCATTAGAAATCAATGAGTTTGGCCTTTTCGGGCCTTCTGGAGGCCCTCTTGGAGGCCTCTTAGGCCGTCTTGGGCCATCTTAGGGCCATGTTCGGCCGTCTTGGTGGGCTCCTGGTCCGTCTGGCGCCGTTGGAAGCTGTAAGGGGGGCCTCTCCGGGCCGACTTAGGGTCCTCTTGGAATGCTCCAGGGCCGTCTTGGAGGCCATCTTGGGCGTCTTAAAGGCATCCTGTGCCGTCTTGGGGGCCTCTTGGGGCCGTCTTGGGGCCCTCTGTGGCCGTTCTGGGGCCATCTTGGAGGCCTCTTGGGCGATCTTTCGGCGATCTTTGGGGGCTCTTGGGCCGTCTCGGGCCGTCGGAAGGCCGAAAAGAAGCAAATATCACAATCCGTCAACAACCATAGGAAAATTCATGTTTTTGGCCTCTTCTCGCCTTCCTGGAGGCACCCTTGGGGGCCTCTTGGGCCGTCTTGGGCCAGCTTCGAGCCAACGTCGGCCATCTTGGTGGGTTCCTGGCACGTCTGACGCCGTCGGGAGCCGTCTTGGGGGCCTTTCTGGGCCGACTCGAGGCCCTCTTGGGGCGCTTCGGGGCCGTCTTGGAGGCCATCTTGGGCGTCTTGCAGGCCATCTTGGGCGTGTTGGAGGCCTCTTGGGCCGTCTTGGGGCCGTCTTGGAGGCCGCTTGGGCCGTCATGGGGCCCTCTCTTGGGCCGTCTTGGGCCGTCGGAAAGCCAAAAAGGCGCAAATGCCAAAATCCTTCAAAACCATAGAAAATCCATGATTGTGGCTCTTTTCGGGCCTTCCTGGAGGACCTCTTGGAGGGCTCTTGTGCCGTCTTGGAGGCCTCTTGCAGGCCTTCTGGGCCGTCGTAGACCATCTTGAGGCCATCTTGGGCCGTCTTGGATGCATCTTGGAGCAATCTTAGCCGTCTTGGAGGCCATCTTGGCCATCGTGGAGGCATCTTGGAGGCCATCCTGGGCCATCTTGGCCGTCTTGGAGGCCATCTTGGGCCAACTTGGGGCAACAAAGGCATTGACGGATGGATTTTCGGGAATCTCCCGGGACCCCGGCGGGACGGGCCGAAGCCCCAGGGAGAGTTCTTTCGGAAAAAGAACCAAAACCAAAACCGAGAGGATTCGGCACACCAGGCACCCCTGCGATGAATCGACAGGGGGCGGCGGATCTGGTGGCCTGCGGCCCATCCCGCCACCGTGCCGGAGTAGCGGGTCAGGGCCTTCATGCATGCTCCGTGGATAGTCTTCGGAGAGCTCTCGGGCGCCTCTGGATGCAGGTTCTTGGCAGTTTGACAGCCTCTCGGAAGTCCTTGGAGGGCATCTTGGGGATTCATCAGCCCGTTTCTTTATTGCTTGGGGCATGACGGGCGTCATGGCTCCCGCCCCCCCCCCTATGACGTAACGCTCCCCCCCCAGTGTGCTCCGGGCACTGCCGCCGTGCGCATTGGGATCCGCGTAGGTGTCCGCGTAGGAATCCGCATAGGTGTCTGGTCCGCAGGCGTCGTCGTCGTCGTCGTCGTCGTCGTCGTCGTCGTCGTCGTCGTCGTCGTCCGTCGTCGTCGTCCGTCGTCGTCGCTCGTGGTTCGTCGCTCGTCGCTCATCGTCGTCGTGCGCGCAGACGCGGCTGGAGCCTGTTTTTAAGTCCGGGCCGATGACGGCATTCATCTGGGGGGGAGGGGGTCGATGACGTCACGTTTCGCGCCGGCGGCGTCTGGGAATGCTTAGGAATGACGGAGGACGGGTCGCACGAACATGTAGGTGGCGATATCCACCACAACGCCTGTGTACATCACAGTGCCCGCGTGCACCACAGCGCCTGTGTACACCACGCCGCCGATGTACACCACAGCAGCCGCGTGCAACACAGTGTCAGTTTGTGCCACCGCGCCTGCGGACACAGCAGCTCCTGTGTACACCACAGCGCCTCCGTACACCACATCAGCCGTGCGCAACACAGCACCAGTGTACACCACAATGCCTGCGTGCATTGCAGTGCCTGTGTACGCCACGGCGCCTGTGTGCACCAAATCAGCCGTGTGCAACACAGCACCATTGTTGTGTATAGATTTTCAGGAGGAATGCTTGTGAAAAAATGGAGCGCGTGTGGATTCGAGAGAAAACAAGTGAAAAAAAATCCTCATGGACAAAGGAGCGCCGCTGGAATCTACGAGTCCCCCCGGGTCCGCCCGCATCACCCCAATTCCCATTTGCGTCCAGGAGGCTCCATCTAAACTGGCCGTCCGAGAACCAAATGGACCGATTCAATCGACCATTCTGCGGTGCACGCTGAGAGACGCACGTGCGTTGTAACGCCAAGCCGCACGACAGGGGGTATGAAGGAGGAAACGGAGGAGGAGGAGGAGGAGGAGGAAGAGGAGGAGGAGGAGGTGGAGGAGGAGGAAGGAGGGAAAAACGTCGCATTCGATTGTCAGAATTTTCCTGGCGTGGCGTTTAGTTGTCCGCAGCAGATCCTGACGTACATGCTCCTCCTACCTGTCCTCTGCACGCAGGCACTGTGGTGTACACTAACGCTGCGTTGCACGCGGATGGTGGCGTGCACAGGCGCTGCGGTGCACGCAAGCACTGTGGTGTACACAGGCGTTGTGTTGCACATGGCTGCTGCGGTGTTTGTACACACCGGCGTTATAGTGCTCCCAAGTATTGTGGTATACACGGGCGGTGCGTTGCACACGGCTGTTGCGGTGTACGCAGGCGCTGTGGTGCACACGTGCGGTGTGGTGCACGCGAGCGTTGTGGTGCACACAGGCGCAATGGGCAGATCGCCACTTACATGCTGCTCGCGTCGTCGTCGTCGTCGCTCGTCGCTCGTCGCGTCGTGCGCGCGGGCGCGGC